GCGGAAAGTGCTTTGACTTCCCCCGTACTCACACACGGCTCCTTAGCTCCTGTATCAGTAAGCCCTCCCGGAATGATCCTAGGTCAGTGTGCCATCTATTTCTTACTGGAATTCTGACAGATACATATGCAAAGCTAAATTTCTTTACAATGAAGATTGTTGCCATTCACAACTAATAGATGGGTCTAGAAGGCATAAAGCTAAGTGAAATAAATCAGAGAAAGACAAATACTGTATGACCTCACTCATACATGGAATTTAAGAAACAAAACAAACAAATAGGAAGAAAAGAGACAAACAAACAAAAAAACCAGACTCTTAACTATAGAGAACAAACTGATGGGGAATCTGGGGGGCTCAATAGAGTGAGCATCTGACTCAAGCTCAGGTCATGATCTCACAGTTGGTGAGTTCAAGCCCCGCGTCAGGCTCTGTGCTGACAGCTCAGAGCCTGGAGCCTGCTTCAGATTCTGTGTCTCCCTCTAATTATACCAATAACCATGGAAGAAGTGAAAATATTAAAGTATATTAATATATAATATATACGCTGACCTGCAGCGTCAGACCAGGCTTAGACAATGTTGAGTGCGAGATCTGCTATGCCTTCTTAATTCCAATAAGGATTCACTTTTAAAATCTTGGAATGTGCGAAAAGGAGAGAAAATTTCTAAGTTGACTAAGTCGACATAAAGTGATATGAAAACCTGACAAAAATAGCTTATAAAACTGAAACAACAAACCACATTTAGTTCTTAGAAGAGATACAGAAATCTTAGCAAATTGACTCTGGCATTTTATTTAGAATAGTCAAAGTGTCTGTTCTGTGAGGACAAAAATGGGTCAGAATTGGAAAGTCTTGTATCAACTTGGTTAGAAAAAGGCAAAAAATAAAATTAAATCCTAAAATTTATAGTAACTTGGGACAGAAAGACACTTCCTGAACTTAGAACAGATAATCTATCTAAAACTAATATCCAAGGTTATATGTTTAGTGAAACATTAGAGATAATTGCATTAAAATTAGGAATAAGATTGTTATTGCTATCAATATTGTCATATTATTGCTATCAATATTGTTATTAAACATGGAACTTTAAAGCCCTTGCCAATGTAATAAGACAAGAAAAATAAATGTGAAATATTTATATTGAGAGGAGAAAATGCCATTATTTGCAACAATGATTATCTTACTGAAAAATAACCTTCATAAAATATATTTACACATCGATGAAAAAATAAACATACTATAGAAAAATTGAGCAAAAGACATAATTTAGCAATTCACAAAAGAAGACAAATGGTCAACCAAAACAAAAGTAAATATTCCATATTTTACCTGTCAGATTTAAATAATGAGATAATTTGGGCACAGAGAGAGACACTCTCATACTCCATTCTTCAAAAAGTGTGCCAGTTTGCACACTCACAGTTTGATAGTATGTTTTAAAACCTTTAAAATGTGCATACTCCTTCACACTGCATTTCTGCTTCCAGGAATTCAGTGTCAGAAGACAGAATTATCTTATTTAAATAAAGGGGCACCTGGATGGCTCAGCCGGTTGAGCGTCCAACTCTATGTCAGATCAAGTAATGATCCCAGGATTGTGGAATCAAGACCTGTGTCAGGCTCTGTGCTGAGCGAGAAGCCTGCTTAAGATTCTCTCTCTCTTCCTCCGTCCCTCTCCCCCACTTGCACTCTCTCTAAAATATAAAAAAATAAAGAAAATTTAAATAAGAATGGTTAGGGGCAGAAAGAGATAGAATTATATTCAAGAGCGTTTGTTGTTTGTAACATCACTTTATAATTTATAATAGTTGCTTCATTGAATACATTATAATATATTCATATATTCATAAAATAAAATATTATATGGTCACTGAAGTAATGTTGAAGTGCTTACCATTTCTGCATTGTTCACAATCTATTTTGAGTGGACAAAAATCAAGTCTCAAAATAATATGAAAAGTATCCCACTTTTACAGTATATAATAATTTTTTGTCTAAATGCATAAAAAATGAGTATACTTAAAATGCTAATCATGCTTATCTCTAAACAAAGATATATCAATTACTTTTATTTTTTTTAAATAGTTTATTGTCAGGTTGGTTTCCATATAACACCCAGTGCTCATCCCACAAGTGCCCTCCTCCATGCCCATCACCCCCCTTCCCCTCTCCCCCCACCCCATCAGCCCTCAGTTTGTTCTCAGCATTCAAGAGTCTCTCATGGTTTGCCTCCCTCCCTCTCCCCCACTATTTTTCCCTTCTTCTCCCCCACGGTCCTCCGTTAAGTTCCTCCTAATCCTCCTATATGTGCAAACATATGGTATCTGTCCTTCTCTGCCTGACTTATTTCGCTCAGCATAACACCCTCAAGGCCCATCCATGTTGCTACACGTGGCCAGATTTCATTCTTTCTCATTGCCATGTAGTATTCCATGGTGTAGATAAACCACATCTTCTTGATCCATTCGTCCGTTGATGGACACTTAGGTTCTTTCCATGTTTTAGCTATTGTTGAGAGTGCTGCTATGGACATTGGGGTTCATGTGCCCCTGTGCATCAGCACTCCTGTGTCCCTTGGGTAAATTCCCAGGAGTGCTATTGCTGGGTCATAGGGGAGT